CTCAGTGCATAACATCAATATCCTTTGTATTACTCAGTATATAACATCAATATCCTTTGTATTATTCAGAGTATAACATCAATACCCTTTCTATTACCAAGATTACTCAGTGCATAACATCAATATCCTTTGTATTACTCAGTATATAACATCAATATCCTTTGTATTATTCAGTGTACAACATCAATACCCTTTGTATTATTCAGTGTATAACATCAATACCCTTTCTATTACCAAGATTACTCAGTATATAACATCAATACCCTTTGTATTACTCAGTATATAACATCAATATCCTTTGTATTACTCAGTGCATAACATCAATATCCTTTGTATTATTCAGTATATAACATCAATATCCTTTGTATTATTCAGTGCATAACATCAATATCCTTTTCATTACTCAGTGCATAACATCAATATCCTTTGTATTACTCAGTGCATAACATCAATCTAATAAAAATCAGACGTTGGTTCTCACTGTCGCAAAACAAAGATATTAGGACATCCATTATGGGTGGACCTTTTGTGAACTTTGAATGACCACTGAAATAACCATAATGTGAGATGACCCCATCTGAACTGATCAGCAGATCACACCAACACACCACATGACATCAACCATATGTGTTTTATCAGATTTCAGCTTTCCTTCCTTAAATATGTTAAAAATAGACCTTAGATGACAGAAAATGGATAAATGTATCAAAAGCAATGATACATGTGACACTAGACTCGTAAAAGTAATAGTTTTTGTCATTTGACTATTATAGGGTCATGAACAGCAGCTTAGCATAGTGATCTCCGAACAGTAGATCAATCTTTTGACAGGTAACTCCACACTGACCTCATCATGCTAATGTGCTATTCTTCACACAAATACATCACTGAAACAAATAAAATTACATCACTGAAACAAAAAAACTGATTTAATATCTTTGTGAGTGAGTGAGTGAGTATGGTTTTACGCCGCCTTTAGCCATTTTCCAGCAATATCACGGCCGGGGACACCAGAAATGGGCTTCACTCATTGTACCCATGTGGGGAATCGAACCCGGGTCTTCAGTGTGACGAGCGAACGCTTTAACCACTAGGCTACCCCACCGCCCCCCAATATCTTTGTGACTATGTTCATGATGTTAGTCAGCATAATGAAAACATGGACATGTCTATTGACATCATTATCTGTATGTTACTATATACTTCAAAACTGAATGACAAAGGCGCTCAAAATTTGGTTACAAATTTGAATATTTTTATTCTATCAGGCTTCCATATTTTTTTCTTCAGTGGTGGGACTAGACTGTCTCACAGTCCCTGAACCACATTATTTTCCTTACTGCCTACACCTCCCTACAATGCTAAATTGAAGCAAGTCTAGAGTCTTTCAGGTTCTGAATTTCCTTCTGACTGGGCTCCTTTTCAATTAAAATGGGATTATTTGTTAGATGTCCCTACCAAAATCATATGTATTCAGAGACTAAGTGTTAGTCTATGGAGAGACCAGCTCACATGGTTAATGCTGTGTTTCCTATTCATCGCATTTAGGGATGGGCTCTAACGACGAGTGATGATGTATTAACCAACCCTGTCCACTGAAAACGTATTGAGTCATGTCAATATGATTAAAATTCTATGATGTAACCAATAACAGTGATTAATCATGTCAGCATTCATAATTTCATACCTTAAAGGTCACATGCAACATAAAACACAACTTTTCAGATTCTGATACCTTTCGGTATGGACTTACTGAAACAAATCATCAAAAATGCAAATTCAGTTAATAAAGTTGAAAAATAACGCGATGAAAAAAACGCGCGAAATCAGAGTTCAAACGATTCACTGATTTTCCCCCAGCTGGGCTGCGTTGCGCTGGGCTGCGCTCATAGCACATGCGCACTGAAATAGGTTCACATAGCTTGGAAGCGGGTTGTCCGGTGAACACTCAGTGAAGGCTTTGGTGTGAGATATTTTTCTAATGTTGTGTTGATATTTCACAGGTGTGAGCTTTTTATATGTTACTGATTTAACTGTTTATATAATTTAATTTGTCTATTTTACCACACATTCTTCTTACTGAGTCACTTTCTCAGTTCGATACTTAAAAGCAATGTCATTATTTAGCGTTGACAGAATTTCTAACTGTGTTGAAGATATGTCGTCGTCACAGACAAAACTCAATGTCTGTTTTATTGACACCTATGTGTCTGCCCGCCTGTCAGCTAATGACAATATTCAATACACAACTTCGATCACTAACCACATGCAATTTGAACTTAACACCTATCAGGCTATATACCATAAACAAAACGCATTGATTTATGGCCCGAGTTCGGTCTCTGTCACATTATGTAATTGCACAGACAGGCAGGTGTGATACTTGTACACATGACATGTTATGATGTCTGTTGATTGCAAAATGTTATACACAAAAACTGAGCATGTATTTTCAAAGCCCAACATCTCTATATATACACACACAATGAGCCGTGAGAGCATCTGCAAATGAACCAGCCGTTACACTTGAGTGCACAATCACCCTCTCTGACTGGGTTCGGTATCCCGGCTGCTTCGTTCCTAGGGAAGTAAACCCAAGTACAAAATATTGCACTTTTGATTGCAATTGTATGCTTATAATTTTGTTTATATGTTTTTTTCATAATCAGCAATGTATATTATATGTCATGAATAAGTGATAATTGTGTTTGATTTTTTGGTTGCATGTGAGCTTTAACATACTTAGATTAGGTTTCACTGAGTGATTTTGCGGCAGTCAAACAATGGTCAAACTGCATTACGACATATGTTATCTGATTATTTCATAATGTTTTCAACGTTTTGATACTTTTCTGCAATGTCTGCACCATGTATACCATTCCCAACCTGCAAGGTATCTTCAGGACATGTATAAGGGATCGTTCATAATTTATGGCTAGGTGGGCGTGATGATGTTTTTAAGGGTGTGTGTGTTTTCACCCATTTTGTTCTGGCGAGCTAGGAGGGGGGCATCAATTTTGTGCACACATACTTGGGGGTCATCTATTTTGGACATAAAATATGTTTAATATTATGCTTAGAAATTATGGGTAGGGAAGGGGGGTAATTCATTTTGTACATGACATGCAGGGGGGTCACTTATTTTGTACAAAAATTTTAGGGGGGTCATTCACATTGTACATGCATCTCCTTAAAAATCATCATAATATCTTACACACACACGCACGCACGCGCACACACACACACACCGCCATAAATTATGAACGGTCCCTAAGTCAATGTCCTTGAGAATAAATCAGGGTTTCAGCATTACCTACAAAACTAGAGTTCCCCATCACCCCCACTTTTAAAGGGTCCTTACTGAAAATATGAGAGTCCTGTGAAGTAATGCAATACTATACTGTGTAGCATACTGTGCTGTAACATTTAATCTTTACTTTAATCACAAGTACTTCATATTGCTCCTGAAATATCTGGTACAGTGAATATTGTTGTGCATGCCTGGAGATACAAGCTCTTTAGATTTCTGCATTCATTCTATATGTTTGAACAAACTGGATGCATAGTTCTGTGTTGTGTGAAACCCTTAAAAATCAATACCTTTCATTTATCATAAATAACCATGTTTTGTAACTGTGTGGTAACAGCAGGGATTAATTCAGGAATCCATACTGCCATTGCTTGGCAAACTGGAAAAAATCATGAGCTTGTTCCAAACTGAGACTCTTTAAAAGATCATATTTTCAAACTGACTGACTGAGTTAGGTTTTACGCCGCTTTTAGCAATATTCCAGCAACATCACGGCGGGGGACACCAGAAATGGGCTTCACACATTGTACCCATGTGGGGATTCGAACCCAGGTCTTCGGCGTGACGAGCCAAGGCTTTAACCATTAGGCTACCCCACTGCCCCTCATATTTTCAAAAGGTAGAGATAATCATCTCTTTAATATTGGACACTAACATTTAAAGAAAATAGACTGATTAATGTAAAATTTATCGTCAAACCTCTTCCTCTGTATTGGGTTGAAAACCGGCGTCAGCTATTTATCTATGAAGCATAAAATACATTGCTACCTCACTGAAATACAATCAAGGAAGCTTGGAAATTACCGAGTGCCTGTGATATTGAATTAATTGCGAGGACCAGCGCATTCCTGTTCGCAACAGACTGTTATCCTCTTCATGGTTATGTGGAAGTTAGAATAATTTATCTATTTCCCACAAATATTCTGATTTACTAATCATGCAATTCAAGTGCAACGTGTCAATATGATATGCCAATATGGCCACTTTACAATAATTAAATTATTGAACACAGTAATGACAGCTACAAATTGAATTAATTCACATAATAGCTTAGCTTGGTGGGGATTGAAAGTTACACAACAGCTGCAACAGTTTCATACTGTAGAACAACAGAACAAGGACATTTTGTACGAAACACAGAGGCAGACAACAATATTTAAACAACAGCTGTTCCTAGCTGATACTGACGTGCTTGAAGTGGTGCCAAGATAGGCACCTGGTTTCACAGTTACCAGACTGGCACAAAATCAAGATGGTTATTCAGTATAAAAGATGGCTATTCAGTATAAACGAGTAACAGTTAGCATAACAGTAAACATAAAGCTTGTTCATGACACCAGACACCATGTATTATATGGTCTCTGATGACACTGTCTAAAATTCAACAGGATACATGACTAATCTTGACATTTTTGTTTTTGAGTCAACAAGAGTTTATCGTATTTATGTGCTGTTTCTAACTCCGAAGTGATTACAAAAATAGATCAAGGACAAGTTAAAATATTCTATTTATACTTCACACCACTGAAATTTGCAAACCCTGTTTTATTACTGAGACGACGACATGACATGATATGGGATTTGATCACCGGAAGTCATCGACAAAAACACCAGATGACAAAAATTGATTTCAAATAAAAAACGTAATTAAGTCTCCACGCTCCTTGCACTATGCATGTTAAACACTTACTTGAGAGAGCAGATATCCAGATCTGAGGCTGTAATTTTCCTTATCCATTGTAAACGCAATGCCTTCAAGTTGTCATTTCAATGTTTATCTTGACTAGTTCTCGTAAACTCCACTAGATGTCGCATCGAGAGTTACGCCCCTTTAAACTAAAATACGGAGCCACTTGCATGCATGGGTTTACAGCCGGGAAAATCATTCAAATACATCCTCCAACACTGAAGAGATTTTTCATTGACCATGTTTTACTAATGATTAAAATCGATATACATTCATTTGCTTTGAGTCTCTAGTTCCAAAGTGAAAACAATGACAGTATTCTTCTGAAAGACTTTTATAAACATCGAACATTTTGCCAGGTACAATATCAGATATAATACCAGAGACCATATACTGTTTTTATTATATGGTTTCTGATGGTACTAATAAATATACGGTTTTCCACCGTTTTAAGCATTATTCTTACAATAATAAGTCCTGGGAAAATTTTGATTAATTAAGCAGCATGAAAACGTTCCAGCATGAAATTAAATTCAATCAGTGTAATAAAAAATGGCAAAGACGAATAACATTGGTAGAACTGAGACAAATTCTTTGGGTATTTGAAAAGTAAATGTTGAAGACAGGTTTAATTTGAAAAAAAAAATCAATTGATGCGCGAGGAAATTAGACATTTAAAAAACAAAATGAGATGACAAAGTTCTCGAAAAGGTCAGGATTCGTCTTTATGAAGGGTGTGGCGTTGATGGTAGATATATGCCATTACAATAAGTTTATTCTCCAAATTTATTCACTTCCATTGAGGAACTATACATATTTCACGTGGACTATTGATAACAGAAGAATGTAACTCATTTCTTATTTACAATTTCGAGTGACTGAGTTTAGTTTTACGCCGCTTTTAGCAATATCTTGTCATTCACATTGTACATGCTTCTCCATGAAACCACCCCACCCACCCCCACCCCAGCCATGAATTATGAACGGTCCCCAAAGCATATACACGCCCTAAAATACCCCACAATACCAATGCCATGAAATTACTTGAGAAAGATAAGAAAGCGTCGACATTATTGTAGCCATATAACCATACATTATATAGAGGATGGTGAAACAAAAGTACTTTTATAAAAACAGTGTACTAGTATTTCATATAAGGAAAATATTATTCGTCGACATGCAACTGCTGCTCACACGTACACCACATGCACACACAATACCATGGTAACATACACACGCAATACCATGGTAACATACATACGCAATACCATGGTAACATACACACGCAATACCACGGTAACATGCACATGCAATACCATGGTAACATACATACGCAATACCATGGTAACATACACACGCAATACCATGGTAACATACATACGCAATACCATGGTAACATACATACGCAATACCATGGTAACATGCACATGCAATACCATAGTAACACCACTGCTGATAATTACTGTGGCGTGTTGAGCCTTTTTTAGCTATATTACTTACAGATATTTAGATAGTAATGTTTTGATCCTGTGGCAGGAATGATTTGGTGCCATGACAATGTAAATAAATACCATATCTACCAAACTCAAGTTTAAATTTAATAACGATTTTATATCGATTCCATTTATTTCGGGAAATGCGTTTCCATCCTAGTACAGAATCACTGTAGAGTAAAATCTAGGGGGAGTAATTTAACCTTGAAATACAGGCCTTGAACACGAACCTTGGATAGTTTTAACCATAAACAGTTATGGTTAACTCAATCACACGTTTTTGTACGTCTATAAAACAAACTGCTGTTTCCTAGTATTTACATTAGAATAGACGTTATATATGTGCTCAACAGTGTTGTGTTTTTCCATGATGCCTATTTGCTATTCCACAAGTACATTATTTTTCCGAGCTCAAACGACTACGTTTAGTTTCGAAAATTTGAGTATAATATGCCGTTTATTTTGACAGTCTAAAGTAAACTTAGGCTCAGTATTATTCGTTACGCCGCATGAACCATATAGCTTCAGTAGCATCTGAATGATGTTAAATTGAGTGAGTGAGTTTAGTTTTACGCCGCACTCAGCACTATTCCAGCTATATGGCGGCGGTCTGTAAATAATCGAGTCTGGACCAGACAATCCAGTGACTAATAATACGAGCATCGATCTGCGCAATTGGGAACCGATGACATGTGTCAACCAAGTCAGCGAGCCTGACCACCCGATCCCGTTAGTCGCCTCTTACGACAAGCATGGGTTACTGAAGATCAATATTCTAACACGATCATAAACTTCGTTGTTTAACGGTTAAAGTTTGTTTGTTTGTTCGTTGTTGAGCACCGCACTTAGCAATATTCCAGTTATATATTTGAAAATAATCGAGGCTGGACCAGACAATCCAGTGATCAACAGCATGAGCATCAATCTACGAAATTGGGATACATGTACCAACATGTGTGTGCTGGCGATTAGGTGCTTGACTCTGAGGGTTCGAATCCCGGATGGGACTCAACCCAAACAGGTACTGGAATGTGTACTTTCTAAGAAAGTGTGATCCCAAATCTAACATTATGTTACATGTATCAACCAAGTCAGCGAGCCTAAACACTCGAATGAGTGAGTGAGTTAGTAAGGTTTTATTCCGCATTTAGCAATATTTCAACAGCATTAGAAATACGCTTAACACACTGAAAATCGAACTCGGGCTTTTGACATGATGAGTTAATGCTTGAACCACTAGGCTACCCCACAGCTCTTGTTCAGCTCTGACTGCTGGTTGAAGCTTATGACATTGTGGATATTATATTCATTGTCGATATTGTTCCCGAGTCATATGAGTTAGACGCTGCATGCTTTCCGTGTTTGAAACTCACACTGAATTAATGAGCCGAGGTCAGTGTAGGACTCCATGTCTTTGTTTGTATTCCTGATGCGTATATATAAAAAGTGTTCCTTTCTTATCGGTTTTGTTTCTACAAATGTTCAAAAAGTCTGAATTATTTATCTGGCAAAAAGCTTTCTCCTAGCATCTAGTCGTACATACATTGATTCATTAGAAAATGTTGTGTTTAATATAGTTAAAGACATGTCAAAACAAATGTCAAAACAATATAGAAAAGTTGTATATTTCAAGGCAGGTGTTCAGACAATAAGTCACGTGATTGTGTGATCGTCGCATCAGCCAATCAGAGGCCATTTCCGCTGCACGGACTTTTGAAGAGCGTTCTTTTCAGACGACAATATGGATGCAATTGACATTGGAAAGGAATTATCTTCATGTTGTAAAACGGTTTGACGAATTTGTCTACAACAACTTTTAGAAACAAGATGATTTTTCCAATCTAGTGATTCTTTCAACAGCAAAACCTGGAATGCGTTCGACAGACAGGAATTTGGTATTGGATAATGTAGATGCCAACATGGATTTACATGAACTCTTTTTCTTGGATTGTGTTGATGAATTTTACTGGCAAACACAGGATTATTACAGGAGAGGATAATGCTCTGTTCGGAGGAGAGGATAATGCTGTGTTAGGAGGAGAGGATAATGCTCTGTTCGGAGGAGAGGCTAATGCTTTGTTGGGAGGAGAGGCTAATGCTCTGTTCGGAGGAGAGGCTAATCTCTGTTCGGAGGAGAGGCTAATGCTTTGTTGGGAGGAGAGGCTAATGCTCTGTTCGGAGGAGAGGCTAATGCTCTGTTCGGAGGAGAGGATAATGCTCTGTTCGGAGGAGAGGCTAATGCTCTGTTCGGAGGAGAGGCTAATGCTTTGTTGGGAGGAGAGGCTAATGCTCTGTTCGGAGGAGAGGATAATGCTGTGTTCGGAGGAGAGGATAATGCTGTGTTCGGAGGAGAGGCTAATGCTTTGTTGGGAGGAGAGGATAATGCTGTGTTCGGAGGAGAGGCTAATGCTTTGTTGGGAGGAGAGGATAATGCTGTGTTCGGAGGAGAGGCTAATGCTGTGTTCGGAGGAGAGGATAATGCTCTGTTGGGAGGAGAGGATAATGCTGTGTTCGGAGGAGAGGCTAATGCTCTGTTCGGAGGAGAGGCTAATGCTCTGTTGGGAGGAGAGGCTAATGCTCTGTTCGGAGGAGAGGCTAATGCTCTGTTCGGAGGAGAGGATAATGCTGTGTTCGGAGGAGAGGTTAATGCTCTGTTCGGAGGAGAGGATAATGCTGTGTTCGGAGGAGAGGCTAATGCTTTGTTGGGAGGAGAGGCTAATGCTCTGTTCGGAGGAGAGGCTAATGCTCTGTTCGGAGGAGAGGATAATGCTCTGTTCGGAGGAGAGGATAATGCTGTGTTCGGAGGAGAGGATAATGCTCTGTTCGGAGGAGAGGCTAATGCTCTGTTCGGAGGAGAGGCTAATGCTGTGTTCGGAGGAGAGGATAATGCTCTGTTCGGAGGAGAGGCTAATGCTCTGTAAGGTATGTGTTTTTATTGCACTTTAATCACTCATATCATTTAAGTCATCGTTATGAAGGAACGAATTCTAACAATGTTTGTTGAAACAGCCGTAATTAATTTTTCTCTCAATGTACCAGTGTGTTCAAACTTGATTACCAAATGTTTGTCGTCAAGCCACGACAACCAGAAAACAATAACTCTCAACCTTTTAAGTGTATCGGTTCAATCATTCTACATTTTTCTTGTTTTATGAGTGAGGCGGTTGGGTAGCCTATAGCGCTTAAAGCTTTCACTCGTCATGCCGAAGATCCGGGTTCGATTCCCCACATGGGTACAATGTGTGAAGCCCATCTCTGGTGTTCCCGCCGTGATATTGTTGGAACAGTGCTAAAAGCGGCGTAACACCAAACTCACTCACTCCTTCAGGCAGGTAATTTTTTCCCCATTTGATCTACCTTTTAGCAGTGTTGTCCAAGGACACTATAGTCAATATACGCCAAAGGGTTGTGTAGCCAATTTACTAACCAGTTGTTTTCCAACGGTTGTTGGATATATCCGTATATACTTGCTTCTTTGGTTCCCCTGCCCAGTGGTTTAGCTGCTTCAGCTCCGAATAGTGTATATACCCGAGATAGTCGACAATACCAACCCCAATGATAAACAAATGTGCATTCGATCCCTCTAAGGTTGTAGGCAAACTATTCACTGGCATTAAGTTTATGCATGTAGACACATGGACTCTCACGTTAATGTTCCAACATCACAAGAATATGGAAGATGCAGGTGTGTGATTTTCTGTTAATTGTTTTATCTATAGATTTGGATTGTTGGTGAAAACCCTGGTTCTCGGTGTGAAGTCCACCCCCTGTAACTGATATATACTTATGCCAATAATGGTTGTCACCCACACACACACACACACACCTATCACACCTAAACCCCCACCCCCTTCCAATTAAAAAAATTGAACGGAGTGACATCCATTATTGGCATGAGTATATAAACTGAAATATACACTTACATGTCATTACTCGTTAAGTAGCAGCAGTAGCAGTAGTAGTGGTAGTAGTGGTAGACGTAGTAGGAGTAGTAGTAGTTGTAGCAGTAGTGGTGGCGGAGGTGGCAGTAGTAGTGAGTGTGTGAGTGCGAGTTGGGTTTTACGCCGCTTTTAGCAATATTCCAGCAATATCACGACGGGGGACACCAGAAATGGGCTTCACACATTGTACCCACATGGGGAATCGAACCCGGGTCTTCGGCGTGACGAGCGAACGCTTTACCACCAGGCTACCCCACCGCCCCGGTAGTAGTAGTAGTAGTAGTAGTTGTAGCAGTAGTGGTGGCGGAGGTGGCAGTAGTAGTAGTAGTAGTAGTAGTAGTAGTAGTAGTAGTAGTAGTAGTATTTGATCGCGATTAATAACCATGCTTATGGAAGTTGAAATCGTGAATGTAGATTTCCTATGTGTTTTGTCGCTTTTAACACTCTGCCAGTTTAATTAAAATACTGTTCAAGTTTATCTAATTTACTGTTTACAGGCATTACGCTGCGACGACCACGTGGCCTCGGTTACACAGTCCTAAGAAGAAAGTTGACCAACATTGCTGGGAAGATGTCATGCCTCTCCTTCACCTTTCATCTTCTTCCCGGTAGGTCCGCTGGTTCCGGTAGTATCAGAGTGACCCGCTGAAGGTACTGAACGAATGAGTGAACGCCATTTTACATCGTTTTCGATATAGGTATGGTTCCTGGGGCCCTCCCAACATAACGATCGCCAATACACGCACATCTGTGAGTACTAGGGGTGGGAAACAGGCCTATCCTTGTCGTAAGAGGAGACTGAATTTATTCGGTGGTCAGATCCAGTGACGTGGTTGATGCATGCCATCGCACCCCAGCTGTGCGGATTGTTGCTCGATATCAGTCACTGGATTGTCTGGTTTAGACTCGAGTGGCTCGAATATTGAGTTTGGCGGAAAACAACTGCAATGATATACGGTATGGACCGGACCAAACCCAGGATCACACAATCGTGTGACTGATAGTGTGGTCAACACCCTTTCCTTGTTGAGATTACTTCCAATACTTGAGAGCTGAGGGTCAACATACCTAGAGGATGAATTGTCATATGAGCATCGCTGTGACTTATCTTCCCCGAAAAGCTTACATTCTTTAACGATTTTAGAGTCATTGGAAGTTGATACACATCGATATTAAGTAAGCCATTGTTCAGAATCGGTAATGGTAATTATGTAATAAATGGATGCAGATACCCTTTTCACAGCATTGATATCTTGCACATATGTAAGCATTCTCGCTCACGTTTCCACTATCTTAATTATACCTTATATCTTCTTTTGCGTTTTGCGGTGTTTTTACCAAATTCTGCTTCCTTGGAGAATACTTGATTCTGATTGGTCCAGGTGATAAATTACAGGTGATCAATTACCACTACATGTTTTACGGGACATTTACCGCGCAATAGTCCGCACATCGTTTATATAAATGCTTAAAACCATAAAAAATTGGAAATAGATGCTTAATACATATAATCTGTCCAATAGACTGAATAAGAATTGATGAATCTTTAAATCTCGCTGACCTTTGATGTAGGTACGGGGGTTGACCGCAAGGAACTCATGGTAGGTGATTCAATAATGCATTTATGTAAAATTGGCATACTGATAAATATACTCATGCCAAAAATGGTTGTCACCTGTTTTATCACACCGGCCAATGAACGATCGCGTCAGCAGTTGACAGTTTAAACAACACATGAGCATACCGTCCGTCAAGCAGGTCACATATTGTCAATACATAACGCCAACGCCAGTGTATAAACAGTTTCGATCAGCCACCGAACCAGATTTTCATTGGTTGTAAAAAATAGATATAATCATATGAATGGATCGCTTTGAAAATGAGTTCCTTTACTGACGACCGGGCCAAACGGCGGATTCTTTACTGACAACAGTAGTAGTAGTAGTTGTAGTAGTAGTAGTAGTAGTAGTAGTAGTAGTAGTTGTAGTAGTAGTAGTTGTAGTAGTAGTAGTGGCAGCAGTAGCAGTATCGGGTACGACCCACACGGTGTCCGTGATTCTTTACTGACAACTTACATCAGTAGTAGTAGTAGTAGTAGTAGTAGTTGTAGTAGTAGGAGTAGTAGTTGTCGTAGTAATAGTAGTAGTAGTAGTAGATAGCAACAACAGCAACAGTCTAGTAATATGTATTTTCGATACATTGATGGCACAGTAGAAATGGAAATAGATAATCCTTGGTAAATCTGATACATGGTAAGAACGTATGTACACTGGTTTATGATGCTTAAGATTTGGAGATTTTACGCGCGCTTTCCGACATGATGCGTCGCACATAACTTTATGATGTCAGTTCATAACTACTCAGAATTGTCGATCTGACGACCAAGGTGCCTGGACATGGGTTATACACTACAACTGTCCGTGGGCTCCATTCTGAGAAAGCCATGTGATGCTGGACTTTCCCTGTGAAGAATGTGGTCAGTAGATATAGGGGGTGTATTTTGATGGTCAAATGTTCCGAGTAGTGGGGAAAGTATAACTCTCCGCATGCATGGTGAAGTGTAGGAATGAGTTGCGGGTGCTGTCCACACCCAATGATACGCCAGTTACCGTAGACAAGCAGTTGTAGCGTCAGCTGAGGTCGTCTGTAGATCGTGTTGTATAAATATGTAAATTACTTGTTTTTGTAAATATTGATTGTCCGTGTGTTTTCAGACACGTCGAATGCCAGCAAATAATTTAGACAGTCTTTTGTGTGTCAAAGCTATGCATCGCGGATGTATGCTTTTTGTATCTAAATGATCTTCAAATAATTACCTGTGTCACCCTAAGTACGCAAACTGTAATGATATAAGGTATATAGGTAAACGTATGTTATAGACATAAATAACAAACACCTATGATATTTCAATGCTATTTTGACTTTAAGCTAAGTGGAATCTGGCTAGGAAATATTCGAGACTTGTTATTCTCTAGCGTTGACGTTTATCATTTACACAGGTTCTATACATGCACATACGTTTACAACAAATATTTCATATCAGCAAAATAAGTTTCAAATCATCTCTAACACAGAAAGTGAATTCCATCTCGAATTCGTTAGGCCTCGAGTTTTAAGACTTTTAGTATGACTTTAATGCATTGGTTAATTATGAGAATCTATGAGCATGGGAGTGCTGCAGTTAAAGAGGCTGGTTCATCCTTCCTTAGTCTGTCTCACAGTCCCCGAACCGCGTTATTTTCCATTCCGCTTCATCCCTTTCTAAATCCGACCCGTGACGATCCGGGGTAGAATAGGTCTTCAGCAACCCATGCTTGCCACAAAAGGCGACTGTGCTTGTCGTAAGAGGCGACTAACGGGATCGGGTGGTCGGGCTCGCTGACTTGGTTGACACATGTCATCGGTTCCCAATTGTGCAGATCGATGCTCATGCTGTTGATTGGTCCAGACTCGATTATTAACAGACCGCCGCCATATAGCTGGAATATTGCTGAGTGCGGCGTAAAACTAAACTCACCCACGCACCCACTTTCTAAATCCCAAAATGAAGTCTAGATTTCCTTTGTTTCTGAATCTCCCATCTTACCAGGGGCTTCTTTTCAGTTCAATTTAAACGGAATTATTTAAATGAAAATTGTATATAATCAGAGACTAAGTGTTAGTCTAATCCTTCCTGGAAGTTGTCGTTCTGTAGGTGTTATACATATTTAACTTGGAAAACGGCGGTCAGAGAGCATGGGGTATGTCTGGCAGGTCATTTAGCTCCTTGTATTATCTCACAGTAGTGGGAGCCGAGCTGCCATTTTATTCCAGGCCTGTACTTGTAGACCAACCTGGTGCTAGTCAGGACTTGCGTCTTAAGACGTTCCCTTTCACTTCAGCTTGCTGGACTTCCCTCTCAGTGAAGTGTTAGTCCTACTTCTCATAGGAGCAAAGGCCAATAGAACATATCTTGCACTTGATCATTCAAACAAACTATT